GAGTGCTAGTAGCGTGCACTGTTCTCAAACCGCGCATTAGCTTCGTCGCGACGCGGTAGCGCACCCCTGGAGCACCGTCCACCCCTCACCCCCCCTCCTCCTCCTTCTGATGCGCTTCCAGGCGCGACTTGGAGGCGCGAGGACAGAGAGGCGCCACGATTGGCGGCGGCCGCCAGTGACAACGGCACAGTGCGGGGCAGTCGTTGCCCAACGGGCATAAACGTCATCCCGAGGGTGACGCGGGCCGTAAGCACCGCGGCGGCGGCGGCGGCCCTGCGGCGCCCTGGAGAGCGCGCTCATATGGCCTTCTGCAGGTTACATGTGCTGCAAGAATGCACGAGGCAAATTATATTGATTTCCCCTGGAATGTTTTTAATTTTGACTGACGCGGCCGACTGCCGATGCATACCTGCCGATGCCGCCAGAGTCTTTTGCGAGAGGAAACGGGGGAGGAGGTTGTCATCAAAGTTATCGGTCAAAGCAATCCTTTCACCACGTATGTCTGATTCACCGCAGAAACGTTTTGCGAATAATGACGGCACAAAAGTGTCGACGCCTCATAATCACAACCTCCGCGCGAGTCCGAGGCCCGTTCAAATTTATCGAGAAGTACTGAAAGTGAATCACGAGAGGTTCTCAACCGTTTGCTCGGGTGTCGTGCTACCGGTCCTGCCCCGCGCGCACGTGCATGGCCTGGGAGGGGCCGCCGGGGTTCACACATACGCACCACCCCCGTGGCCCCCGCGTGCCGCTGTAGAAACAGGTGGCTGGGCCGGGCCGGGCCACGCCGGGCGCAGGGCAGGGCCACACAAGAGCTCGTTACAAGCCTACTGTCCTGCTACACATCCTACTTCCCGCAAACGGTTGGTCCCTTCCCCCCTATCCTCCCCCACCTCCCTGTACATATTCCTACATGGATATTATACCCCTTGTTGCCCCCTCCCCCCCTCCCGCCCTTTTCCCGAAGTGACGTAACTTGTGCACGGGGCGTCCGCGAGGGCACTAATGGGAATGGGGCTCCATGGGGACGCATTAATGCCTTCAAGCGGCTCCCGTTGACGCGACGCGTCGCGACGCCACGCCGTGCCACGCCACGGCCTCCCGTTGGAGGCGCGCACAACCCAGCGCGTCGAAGTACAGGGTGGAGTGGATGTTCGAAGCCGTATACTTTTTCCAGTAACACTTTACAGCATGCATGCGTGCGGGCTTTAGTTTAGTTTAGTTTAGTTTAGTTTAGTTTAGTTTAGTTTAGTTTAGTTTAGTTTAGTTAAGTTTAGTTTAGTTTAGTTTAGTTTAGTTTAGTTTAGTTTAGTTTAGTTTAGTTGAGTTGAGTTGAGTTGAGTTGAGTTGAGTTTAGTTTAGTTTAGTTTAGTTTAGTTTAGTTTAGTTTAGTTTAGTTTAGTTTAGTTATTTGTGTCTACGAGTCTTGCTACTGTGCCTTGTGGCCCCGTGCGAGTGTGCTGTGCAACCCGCCCGCACGCCTGCATGCGGTACAGTATAACCAGCAAAACGAGGAGAGGAGGGGCTGCCTACTGGTAGTAGTTGTGTCCAGCGTTGAGCACCCGCGCCGTAAGATGGTTTCTCTCTTTGCTTTCCTGCCATGTCACTCGTGAAAAAGGGGCGGCACACTCTGCCCGTCGGGGTGGTCACCACAGACCCCTGGCGATACTGTACAGCCACGCACGCGTGCACGCGGGTCGCCTACTCGCTGGGGGCCCCAAGAGCGCGCCAGGCCCAGAGGTCCGTGAAGCTTGCGGTTAGCGACGATAGGCAACCCCACACTTCGCGCCTCCCTGGCGCCTGCACAGAGCCCCTTCCTTTACTTTGCTTACACTGTACCGGATGCAGGCGTGCGGGCGGGTTGCATACTAGAACAGGGCCATAAGGCGCGGCGGCGTGAGCGACGGTAGGCAAGCCCGCCCGCACGCCTGCATGCGGTACAGTATAAGCAAAATAACGGAAGGGGTCTGTGGGCCACCCTGTAGTATGACCAGAGGATGTAGGGGTCACACTCTGTACTAAGTGTATCAGAGCGGCCTCTGCAGTGTTGCGGAATTGCACTCCCTCTTAGGTGCGCTTTGGGGCGCAGGGACCCCCATGGCCCCTTACGGGCGGACGAGGTCAGCAATCCCTCAACACTGCAGCTTTCGTTTTGCCCGATACACTCGGTACTTGGTAATTTAAAATTGTATTTTTAATTCTCAGAATGCTCTGGAGTGATGAGATTCAGAAAGAGGCACAGAAGGTGTCTCCGCCCGCGGCGCTCGCGGGGGCCGCGTGACGCTCTGTTTAATGAAGGACGACGTCGGATAAGGCGGCAAACATTGTAAAATCCGACGGAGGATGGGTCCTTACCTCCACCTCACCGCACCTACCAGCAGTGGGACCGTCACGCCACTCGTCTCGAAAAATCAAGATGCCACTGAGATTGTCTCGTTGTTTTTCCTCCTAAGATTCGTTTTTCCCAACATTATGCAACATTCATGAGTGTCAAAAAAAAAGTAAAAGAAAAGTGTCCCAATGTAAGGGTAAACACAAAAGAGGAAAACTAAAAAGGGTATGGTTGTTGTAAAAAGAAAAGAAAAAATTAACGTTTTTCTTAGTTTACGAATTTATAAGCGTTTTTCACCTTCCTCTTCCAGTTCCCACGCACCGTATGGGAACAGAGGCGCCAAGTCGGGCAGTCGGACAGAGGCTCGTTGGGGATACTGCGAGGGGCGGTGGTGCGAGAGAGTACGACACCGGCCCGGGTGGGCCGCGTCAAACGGATGGAAATTTTACGAGATGATGATGTAAATGCTAAACTTATTGGGTATAGGGGGTGGGGGCCGGGGCCGGGGGTGTCGGGAGGCCGATCAGAACAACACTTCGGGGCGACACGGGACCGAGCGCGGTATGAATATTTAGCAGGTGCACCTGGAGGCACGCCTCGCGCCCCGCAGGTAGATGGCGCCGTCTGTGTGTGTGCTGCACGAGGTGCTGCAGCACGGGGGCAGAAATGGGGAGTGGATGGATTTGGGACGGCGGACACGGCTGTGGCAGGCGGAGGGAGTGACACGCCAGGGCCTTGCGTGGGACGTGCCGGGGCACAGGCACCATCCTAATGAGTAGCCCAGTGGCTGCTGGGGGCTCTGTACGAAAACCTTTGGGAAGTCTCTCGATTCAAAGTCGTGAAACGCGTATTACTGCGTTACGCTATGCGTGAGGAGGATGGAGAGTACACGGCGGCGGAGACGGGGTGGATCAGAACCGCCCCCTCCCTCACCCCTTCCCCTCTGCCGGCACAGGTGAGGTGGCCCCGGGCGGCCCCCGGGAGGTCGTGTTAGAGCGTCCGGGCTAATGACGAGGCCGTCGCCGACGAGCGCACCCGAGCAGCACACCGGCCTGCCGCGCCGCCAGCGCAGCAACCGCGGCACAGACCCCTCGCGATGATGAACGCCAAACGGGCGGTTCAAAAATCGGATCCGTTTCCCGCGAAGCTCGTACCGTTGCGATAGAGCGCGGCAGGTGTGGCTGAGGTGCGCGTTGGGTGGCCTACCGCGGCGGCGCTCGGCTGCCCGCGCGTGTTCAGAAAGTCGGGTACTACTACCCACACCCACCTCACCGCGTCACTGATCGCCCTCGGTGCTAGGCAACCCATCAGGCTGCGCAGTCCCTCCTCTCCTCCTCTTCATGCTCTACCCACTGCCACATCCCCCCCCCCTCACCTCTCCTCCTTTCCGCTCGACAACAACACAACTGCGTAGGCGTGCCCGCGTGCCTAGGGCGCGCGCTACAACGCCACGATACGGCGAGGCGAGGGATATCGCCGCCAAACAACAAAACAAAATAAAAAGAGCGCTCTGCTTGCGATGCACCTTTCTCGGCGCGTGCGAGCCACCTCTCCACCTCCCTCCCCTATGCCACGACCAGCCACGACCTCACACCCCAGCCCGGTGCGGACAGCTATCATAAGGACAGCTTGGCACGCTGCCGCTGTGCTCTGCGCTCTCTGCGCCTACCCGCGAGTCATCCTGTCAGTGAAGAGGGTTGCGCATCGTTGCGCAGGTCGTTTTGAAGGTGGATGGTGCGTCGGGCGTCCAGCTTCGAACGTATGGCGGCAACTTGCTCCAGCCATCCCAGCATGCACCGCTGCCCCGTGTCTCCAGACTTCCCCCGTCTCCGACGGCAACACTGCAGCCAGCGACGCTGGCGCACCCTATTTGTGTAGCAGCTCTACGATTTTTACGCGAATAGACTCGCGTAGGGTCGATTCTCCCCGAGCCTCCCATTGGCTGCTGCAGTGGCTGGCCTATGGGCCGAAGGGGGAGAGAACGGCTTGCTTTTGGTTGGCCGTGAGTCGAGTATCCCAAACATTGCCAGGAACAGCTGTGTTGTCGATTGATTGTGGGAGAGTGAGCTGTGCCCTTGGCTCACGCAATCAAAATATCGGGTTGTAGTGAAAACAGATTGAACCACGGCGACTTCTTAGCAAGCCTGGCCTCGAACGGGGACCCCGAAGAAGGAGGACTTGCGCCTCCACCAAGGAAGAAGTCCAGAATTGTGGAAGCCAACATGCAGCAGCAGCAACCTGCCTCAAATGGCTGTTCTGAACATAATGGCACTTCCTCTCCAGACGGGGAGGAAGTGCAAGCCAAGATAATGGACAGAACTAATCAAGATATTGTGAGACTCATTGGCCAACACCTCAAGACGGTTGGATTAAAGTACGACCTATTTCATTTTCCCCGAACACATAACCTTGCTTCTTAAGGATGCAAGTTCTTCTGCTTGCAGAATTGCAGTGCTAATCTCTGCATTTGTTTATCCCCTACTTGGACGCCCAATGATGCGAGCACTCTTTTAAATTCTGAAGGACTCGCTTTTATTCTATTTAAACCTCTGACAGAACTTTATAAAATGGTTATTTGAAATCTTTCTCATTTGTAAAATTGACTTGTCAGATGAGTGACCAGATAAGAGGTCAGGGTATACCAGACAATAACTCGAGTAAAAATAATATTCACTACTCTTTCCTGACCATCTTGTATTAATTAAGCGTTTTCCTGTTTTAAGCCCTATCAGAAAACTTTGCAGCATTTCAAAAACTTCTGTTTGCATTGTGATGAATCACTACACCATTGTCTTTAATATCTTTCATGGCTCTCAGATAAGCTTAAGTAAATGGTCATCTGACAAAATTGGATGTAACAGCTCATTTTATTGTTGTAGGTTCTTTTAATTTTTGCAAATCATCTATTTGTGCTCTGAGAGGGCAATGAACTTAACCTTAGGTCTTTCTACAATGTCTGCTATTAATCATTGATTGACATTTCCTTTATTTGTTCTTATCAAATTTGCTTGGAGATTTTGCATGTTGTTATTTTAATATATATCACTTCAGGCTGTCCTAAGTATCATATTTTAAAAGTAGATGGAATAATTGACATTTTATTTCTTTCAATTTCCCATGTACACTTGTACCTAGTTACTTCCATGTGAATTATTTGTATGAAAGGTTCTTTCATGTAAAATGATAATTGTTGTCTTCAAATTTCAGTCGCACCGCTGAACTACTAATGCAAGAGTCTGGTTGCCGTCTTGATCACCCTGCTGCAGCAAAGTTTCGACAACATGTGATGGATGGAGACTGGGTTAAGGTTGCACAAACTGAACATTTTCCTACTTTAATAGGCTGCTCCAACTTTAAGAAGGAGCTGATAGATTGGCCTTGAACTTTAAAAAACCTCATTTGTTCATGCTTAATCAGTCTGCTCTCAAACAACCACAGCTCAGGAGAATGAGATATTGTAATGTTCCCGGCCAATCTACCTGTTCTTTTAATTATGATAAAGTCCTCTATTTGCTGTGAAAACTGCTGTCAAATTTTTCTATGTGCTTCAACCTTTAATTTTGTGTTTTGCTTTTAGGCTGACAACGACCTAAATGAACTGAAGTCATTGCTGGAGGGTACATCTCAAAGCTTGGTGGAAATGAAGTTCCTGTTGCTGGAACAAAAATATTTGGAATATTTGGAGGATAGTCGTGCTTTTGATGCTCTTCATGTTCTGCGAAATGAATTAACACCACTTGGGCACAACACAACAAGAGTTCATCAATTGAGCAGGTACACAATAAATGTGTTTCTCTCTAGCTGCAGGCTTTTGCGTGGAAAAACAGCTTTATTGTCATTTTAAACATTTTGTTACAGCTATATGATGTGCAGTGGTGGTGAGGAACTGCAGAAGAGAGCAGGTTGGGAAGGAAAAGGCATTAAATCACGCACTCAACTCATGGATAAATTACAGTCCTTCCTTCCACCATCCATCATGTTACCGCCACGAAGGTTTGATGAGCACTTTTCTGATGTCTGAATTGTGGAAAGACAAAGATTTTTTTTCTTTAACCTTCACTGTTATTTTTTTTTTCCCTTTCAGGTTATACTCTCTGCTCGATCAAGCAGTCACTCTTCAAAAACAAAATTGTCCATATCATAATGCAAAATGTGAAGGGTCTGCTGACTATGTGTCTCTTCTCTCTGATCACCATTGTTCTAGGTTTGTTGTCCATGACAAAGAGTTTTTTTTTCTTTTTGAAAGAGTACTATCTATGTGTGTATGTATATATTTTATGGATTCTCTTTGCTTTACAGTGAACAGTTTCCTTGTGAGACAACACAAGTCCTTAATGATCATTGTGATGAAGTGTGGTTCTGCCGCTTTTCTCCAGATGGCCTTAAACTGGCTACAGGCTCCAAAGATACATCTGTCATTATCTGGGATGTTGATCCTGTTAGTAACTTTCAAACATTGATAATTTTTTTCTAGTTCATTTATCTATCCTTTTTTTTTTTATGTTGAATTACATTGTCTATTTCAGGAAACTTTGACCTGCACACATCGGAAAACTTTAGAAGGACACTCATATGGAGTTGCTTACCTCTCCTGGTCTCCAGATAGCTCACATCTAATTGCTTGTGGTCCTGAGGATTGTCCAGAACTCTGGATATGGAATATTGACTCTGAGGAACTAAGAGTAAAAGTTTCTCATTCCCCTGAGGACTCCCTCACTTCTTGTTCCTGGCATCGTGATGGGAACAAATTTGTGACTGGTGGCATTCGTGGCCAGTTTTACCAATGTGTAAGTAATATAATCTAGTATTCAAATATCTTTAAAAGTGTATGTTTTTGTGAAACCCATCAAACGTTTTAATATCTTATCCTTGTTATTTTAGGACTTGGAAGGGAACGTTTTGGATTCATGGGAAGGTGTTCGAGTCAACAGTCTGTGGTGTCGCAGTGATGGGAAGACTGTTCTGGCAGCCGACACTCATCATCGTGTCCGAGCTTATAATTTTGATGATCTAACTGACTACAATGTGTAGGTTCCTTATATTAATTTTAAATTACCTTACCTTATCCTAAATTCCTTCAGTAACTTGAACAAGTATTTTCTCTGTTTTTAGTTTGCAGGAGGATCACCCAGTCATGGCATTTAGTGTCAATTCAGCTGATAAACTGGCACTTCTTAATGTAGCAACTCAAGGAGTTCATCTGTGGGATTTGCAGGACAAATGCCTTGTTCGAAAATTCCAAGGTGTTACTCAGGGTCACTTTACTATTCATAGTTGCTTTGGTGGTGTAAACCAGAACTTTGTTGCTAGTGGAAGTGAAGGTAATGTTCTTGTTGTGGGTGTGGAAAAATCAATGTGTTGTTGTTTAGTTAGTGTTAATCATGATTGTATTTATTTCTTCTAGATAATAGAGTATATGTCTGGCATGTCAAAAGAGAAAAGCCTATTGCTGTGCTTGCTGGTCACACTCGAACCGTCAACTGTGTGGCTTGGAATCCTGTATATCATTCAATGCTGGCCTCTGTCTCAGATGACTTCACCGTTAGAATATGGGGTCCAGCAGAGAAATATCGTAATAATTGTAATTCTACTGGTAATTTAAATGGTAACTTTCTTTAAGTATTTTCTAATTTTAGGATCCTTTGTCTTATTTTAATAAATTTATTCAAAAATTTTGTATCTATGCTTTCAGGAAACAGTGGAGAGGGGTCCTCAAATTCAAATGGTAGTGCCTGGTACCACATGGTTTCATAGGGTCTGCTCAAGCGCTGCGCTAAGTGTCCATTCAGAATAACAGCGCTGCGCCTTCAAGCATTTTTGTATTTATATGGTGCAGTGCCATGCCAAATGTTGATGTCTTGTCTTGTCTGGCTTTGTCCTTCACTTTTACATAGTGCTGTGATGTGTTATGGCATCTTCAATATGACATTCGAATGTTTGAGAAAAACTTCGATAAGACAAGAGCAATTTTTAATTTTTGTAGAAAACATTCTACAAAGTTCTTTAAAATTTTAAGTCTGAATCAGGAATTTGTCCTGAATGTGCATAATGTTAATGTAACATCCCTGTTTGCAATAACTATTCTGGTAAGTTTTTTGGTTGTGTGTGAGAGTATGCTGTGGAATCACATATTGCATAATGCCATGCCTGAGTACAACCAGGGTGCCTTGCAAGCTGAGTACATGTTTTCTATCTACAGCTGCCTTAGTTCATTTTTATTTTTGGAACCTTTGCAATTGACCTGGAATCTTCCACTTACTCATAACAAACAGATTTTATTTGGAAAAAAATGATTCTCTCCTAAGAACAAATCAAAATTTATTCCAGTCTTATGCCTTCTAATTTTTCTTTTTGTTTCTCTTAAACCAGCAATTATTCCAAAAGATTTTAAGTTTTATTGTCAGTGTACTTAAGAGTAAGAAGTTTGAAAGTCCATGGTCCATGTAGCTTCCTTGGTTGTTTCCAGGCATCATTGCCTGCAACAAATTTCATATGTATGCTTTTTAATTCTCAAATGTCAGATTGACTAAGGTTAAGAATGTTCGAGCACTACACAAAAATGTGATAACCCAGTGGTGTAATCATTTAGAATGCTTCCCCCCCCCCCCCCCCCCCCAATAAAAGGTCGACATCACAAAAAATTTATTAGCAATAATTTTGTAAGGTTTTCTTTGTATCTGTTTAAAGAGTCCTAGCCAAGCATTAGAAATAAATTGGAAAGCTGTAGTTTTTTCTCTAGTTAATTTCTTCTCAGTTGAAAGTGGAGTATTTACTGCCATGGGGTACTAATTAGTATCGTTTGTCTTCCAAATTGCTTGTAGGCTTTTCAAAATCTACCATTTTTCTTTTCTTTTTTGTAAATTACTTTGTCAATCTTAGATGAAAGTCCCCTTTCTTGAGTTTAGTGTGTTGTTCCATAAGTTTTTATTCTGACAATTTTTTTTCAGTCTATTTTATCTCTTACATATGATGCTTCCAATATTTATGTTCCTCTTATCCTTTCAACATGCCTGACTTAATGAAGCTGGTACAGCTGTTTAACAAAGCAGAATTCCGCTTCCAGAAACTTTTTTGCACGAATTTGCTATGTAGGACTCTTCACTTATGTGATCGTAAACATATTAGATTTTTTGTTACATTTTATACAGTTAGAGTATTGGTTTATGTTGCCCGATGACAATTGACAGCATTCGTAGGAGCTTTTTTAATAAATGAAAGTACCATTTTTCTAGTATTTGCAAATTTTTACTTTTAAGGATATTTGTATGTGAGGTAAGAGAATATGAATAATAAAGTGCTTTTTTAGGCCATAACATTTTTTATCCCATATTTAATTTAGTGAGCTATAATTAATTACACCACTGGTATTTAGTGCTGTACCTGTTACATTATGAGACCAAATTATAGTCTTAGCCATATGCTTACATCTTTCACCTTAATTCTGCTTTTTCAATATTCCATCTTTAACTGGGCGCTTAAGTGAAATAATTGGACTTGTGGGAAAAGTAATGGAATACTTGAGTTAATTGATGGGGCTCATGTGTTTTTGTATTTGTTAAGTCGCACTGGCACCACCAAACTATCTGTGATGGCATGTTGTGTCCATATACCTTATGATTTTCTGTTCATCCTCTCCATGACACCTGAGGAAAAAGGTCCCGTGTGAATACACTGTTTTAGTTGTGATGAAATTTATTATGTGTCTCAGATATAGGATGTCAGACAAATTTTCTTCATATACCTGACCTGCATGGTATGTGGGCTGTAAGAGTTGTGAATTGTCAAAGATGTGGTCAAGTGAAAATTTTAGCAGAGTTGATTGATTGATTTCACTTCAAATTTTGTTGTCTGAGGAAATATTTGTTCTTTTTTTGTAAAGATTATTTATTATGTTTTATTAATCTAGTTTTCTGTGACCATATAAGATCATGAGTCAATGTTGTCACAACCAGAATGTTTTCAAAGACGTCTTATTTGCTACCTCTGTGGCGAAGTCGAACACTTACTAATTACTGTTAGTCTGAAAGATAAGGCAAAGCAAAGGTCTCAAAATATTTTTGAATCCTTTATGTCCACCAAAGCTTTTGTGTTGGAGTGAGAGACCTTCTCAGTTTTGTTTGTCCTTTTTTGTGTGCTGGAAATCAGCTCAGCTGATGGAAACCTCAGTCAGAGATTCTTTTTTCCCTCCTTGTATAAGATTCAAGTTACTATGCCATTAGATTTTGCAGCACGACCTTCTTGCAATCACTCCATGTAAATCTGCTTACTTTTTATAAAATAAGAAACAGCAAATGAGTTGTTTTTTACTTGTAATAAATTAGTAGTAATGTGCACATACCTAATACTCAGCATGAAAATGTGGTTGTGTCAACTGGTCATGCACACATGAGAGTTCTTCTGTCCATTGTTAACCCTTATTGATTTGTTGCTTAAATTTTGGCTGATTGCAAATAGAGAATGGTCATTTTCTTGCATCCATTCTCCTTACACCAGCAAGTATGGATTTTATGTGGCAAAGCAAGGAATTGTTGGACAAATGCTTTCCTGCATCTACCCCTGTGGTGTATGGATTGCAAATAATGCTGTGCAATCACATCATCTGCAAAAATAATACGCTCACATCTGCTATGGGGGCAATACGGAACTCACTTTTAATGAAGATATTTCTGATGTAATGTCTGAAAGAAGAAAAGAGAAGGTACACCAGTCTTCTTCAAGATATGATTTTAAAACCCTATTTTTGTAAGACATTCATCATGTTGAATTCCATGACAAGCAGTTGATGGCTTTACTTTCTTTCATAATGAATAGTCGACTTTTGAATCAAATGTTGCTGTAAGAGGTGCAAGTTGTGATACTAGAGATTCATTGAAGATGTGTTCTGTGTTATCAATTGTTAAGTCTTCTTTAGAGACATTTCGAAGACTGATTCTTCGTCTATTTGTGCAACATGTTTGTGGAGTGAGTTTTTATAACAGCTGGAGCAGCCTGCAGGGTTTAATAGTAGCCCATAGAGAAGGTTATCAGTTTATTGGTCAGCAAGATCAAATGTACATAATGCGTGAATTTTGACACTTTCAGCCTCGTGGAAATAAATTGTATGTGTGAAAGTGATAGCTATTTAGATGTGATCATCTAACTTTATATATAAAAAATTAATAAAGTTAAATTACAAAATACTTATTATACATGAACCAATTATCCTTAAATTTAGGAGCAACTTCAACATCATATAAATAGTTCCAATAAAGGAAAACAGTTTTAACAAATACAATAAAAATACAATATCTTATCAAGTTCAGGAGTTGGCACTGCGAGGTTTCTTCAAGTGGTGATAGTTTACTAAAGTTTTAGTTAAGAATTCAATTTGAAGAGTTTGAATCTGCAAAAAAGAATAATTTTTAAAAAAAAGACTTTGTTAAACTGTAAAAAAAAATCAGAAAGTTTGATGATGTACAGCTGCCCTACTTACTGGTGGTTTGTCCATAGCAATTCTTCTGGCACAGTTCCTGCCATAGACAACTGTGTTTTCAGGTAAAACTTCTTTTCCTGTAAGCTTACACGCTGCACCTATAATACATCCACTTTTGATTTCCACCTCTCGTCCAACATGAGCTAATTCAAAAAATCATTCCAAAATTAAAAAATTAAACCTAAAGAAAGAAAGACAGCAAGTGAAACGGAAAAATAAGAGTACTTACATTTCACTTCCAATACATTCTGGTCCCCCATTTTTGTGGATTCAAACAGACAGTCCACTTCAAAAACATTCCCATTGCCTATTTCCATAACAATTTGTGACGAAGGATCAGCTCCTGGCGGCAAACTAAAGTACATTTGGGATTAATAATTATACTGTTGGTTTTATTTCATAGATCAAGAGCTAATTTATTTCCTTACCGATTGATTATATGAGCCTGTTCTTCAATTATGTTTGATTCCCCAATAATTATGGGTCCTGCTTCAGCAATGATAGTCGCTCTAGGATGTACAATTGTATGTGCCCCTATAGTTATGTCACCTCGTAGTTTGCTTTCATGACAAACTATGGCGTGTAAAGCAATTTTGAGGCTTCAATAGGAAAAAGAAACATGATAAATTATTCTCATGAATGACTCTGTAAAGCAAAATCACTGTCGCTTCATGTGCAGATACATTTTTAGCAGACCAAGTGGAATGAATGGGTTAGGAATCTATGAACGCCTTTATGTTGTGCTTAAAATAAAAAGACAGGTGGGTCGGCAAACATTTTTCAGAAACTATTATCAGGAAACTTACTCATGTTTCGGTTTTGCATCATGATGACTAGATATTGATGACATTATGAGGACTTGGATTAATTCAGTGTCTGTTGATGTTGACAACTGTCAAACTGCACTGGTGCTATTCACATTGATAGGCGAACCCAAGCTGAAACGGGTAGAGGCTAAAGAAAAAAAATCAGAGTTAAACTCGTCATTGATCGAAGAGTAGGAAGACGATGATCACTGTACTAGTCACAGCATATTCTAAGAACTGACAGGAATCAGACCGTCGTAATAGGGTTTGTATTCTTCCATAAATCAGTATTTTCCTTCGTCGTCCCATCACGAAATGTTCTCATACTAGTTAGCCTCGGAATCAGTACTACTCGAACGAGGTCCGTCCGCCATTTTCTTTGCATTGCCTTGCCTTTGGCCACTTCTTGCAATTCTTCCACAATTAAGCCGCAAACATGGCGTACAACCTGTCTGTGAAAGTTCACCCCGTAGTATTATTTCAAATTGTTGATGCGTATGAGAGAAGAAATGCAGATGCCCATCGTGTTATTGGAACCCTTCTAGGTAAGTTTAAGGTATCAGCAACGTTGTTCAAGAGCCTATGACAAATACAGATGTTACCGACACCGCACATGGGCCCTTTAGCCACAAGGTTCATGCGTACCGCTTCCATTCTTTTTAAACTCCCTTCAAAAATTAATCAACAATTCGCTCTTGTGCATGTCACGATCGCGAACTTGATGTCACCATTGTCCATTGTACACCGGTCGTGAGGGTTATGTTTTTAAATATAGGTTAGGTTGACCAATGGTTGGTTTGTGCCAGCTCAACTAGGGTTGTAGAATCCTGAATGTCAATGATGTCCATTTAAGGTGGTTTTATTTTTATGGACCTTTTTGGAAACATACTATTGTTTAATCTATTTTTTGTCGTAATATTCTGGAGTGAAGTGTCAAATTGAGAGTCCATAGCCAAGTCCATTCTCATTAGGGATGAAGTTGACGTTCCCCTTTTATTTCTAACATAAATTAATTTTCTGTTGATTTCATCAGGGTCTGTTGAGAAAGGTGTTGTCGAAGTCACAAACTGCTTCTGTGTACCTCACAAAGAATATGAAGAAACTGTATGTATCATGATAATTTTCTTAAATTTAAATTTCTTCTGTAATAGTAATCCATGTGCTTTATACTGTTGACTTTTTTTTACAGGTTGAGGCAGAAATTGTGTACGCGAAGGAAATGTTTGAGTTCAACAAACAAGTTAATCCTCAAGAAAATATTGTGGGATGGTGGGCCACCGGTCATGAGGTGACATCCCATTCTTCAGCAATTCACGATTTCTATTCCCGTGAATGTGCTAATCCTATTCATTTAACTTTGGATACAACTCTTCAAGGTGAAAGGATGGGCGTCAAAGCCTATTTGAAGTAAGTTACTGCTTTGAAACTTTGTCTGATGTTATTTGCATTATTTTCCGTTTTAGTATGTATTGTAATCTATCAAAACTTTTTCTTGTGACAGCGTGCCTATTGGTGTTCCTGGAGGCAAGGTTGGCTGTATGTTCACACCAATTTCTGTTGATGTTATCTGCTATGAACCAGAAGTTGTGGGAAGTAAGTCTCCTTTTGATGTTTGTTTTGATTACACCATACTAAGTAGTTTCATTGCGGAAATTTTGGTTCTTCATTTAAATTATTTATAATATTTTTGACTGTTTCTGTTTTCAGTTCAACTGGCTAGCAAAACTGCATTATCACACAAGGACACAGTTGAGCCTATGATGGACTTGGCAAGAATTGCAGAGGCAACAAATAAACTTTCTGGTCTTCTTGACACTGTCCTGGCCTATGTGGAAGATGTCCTTGCTGGGAAAGCAGTACCTGACAACTCTGTTGGTCGAGCCTTAACAGACATGATCAACTCTGTCCCGAAGATGTCTCCTGAAGAGTTTGACAAAATGTTCAACTCTAATATCAAGGTAATTTTCCTCACTCATGTTGTGACTACCTATGACATTCTTATTTTCTTCCTGTTTCTCTTCCTCTAACTTTATGATCTTGTGATTTTTAAAAAATTAATATTTGTTATGATTTTTCAAAAATTTATGTTTCTTATGATGTTTTAAAAATTAATATTTGTTGCAATTTTTTTTTCAGGATCTGCTGATGGTGATGACATTGTCACAGCTCGTGAAAACACAGCTCCAACTTAATGAAAAACTTACTTTACTAACATCCGTGTAATATTATCATGTTCTACAATAAACACTCCATCTACATAATGTAATTATGGTATTTAGTTCAATTGGCTCAAATCTCAAATTCACATGCCCCCGAACACAATTTTCATTCACCAATGTAGTTAGAGTATTGAGAGATTGCCACCTGTTAGTACTAAATTCATGGTACACACAAATTATGTACAGCAAAGATTTTTGTTATTACTATTGAGGTGACTGACCAATTTTCAATCTGGAAGACTATTCTAAACTAGGGCAATAGTGCACATGAGTGGATTCCAAAGTGCATGACATCATGATCGTGAGGGGAGGACGGGGGAATGTGACAGGTGAGCATCCGCCGAAAGTAGTGCGGAATTTAAGCGGTGATGTGCCATAATTTTTCTTTTGAGTGGAGAAATATTGGTTAAGAACAGTATAGTGGCACTCTAATGTGAAATGGCTTCATTTAAAAAACGAAGGAACGGGGCCTGAAAAACAAAAACTTAAAATTCCCATCCAATGATATGGCTCCCGGCCGACAGCACGGAACTACTTTCTGCTGCGCTGCGTCGTTGGAGAGTGTGGCAACGCTGCAACAGTGGCCCAACCCAGTGCTTGTAAATAAACGACGATATTTTGATCCGTGTGATGGTGATTACCTCTTGGATTTACGGATAACTTTGTTCAGAGGTGAGTTATAGTGTACATTATATACTGGCATATCAATTCGTCAGCAGTGTGTGAAGGAAGAGTCAAAATATGATAAAACATGACTCTACCATAACCTATACACATCGAAGGGCTGGGCTGCCGAGCCTATACGTATGTTGTTTTGGGTTTATTGCAAATTTGTTGTGTGTTTTAAAGAGATTTTTCTGTTAACCGGCTTTTTGTATTCATGATGAACTTCTTAGGTAATGTGCTGTCTCTCAGAATCGCGTCTATATGAGGTTGTTTGTACCTCACTTGGGTGACAGTTCAAGATGTTTATTATCTCCATGTTTACATGTCTTCAATATTTTTGTGATTGGGTTACTTTTCATCGTCCTTGTTCTCCTTGAATTGGATATTTTTGCCTTCTCCAAATTACCTAGTTTACTGATCGTGAAATTTTCCTAAAATTTTAAAATTGACCTGTTTTGTGAGATGTTGTTTGGTGCAATTATTAATGTACACCTGCATCCTGGATCAATCATGTCACCTCCATTTCATATTTTAATAACTACTGATTTGCTTTGTTTATCCAATTTTTACTCCATCTCAATTTACATTCTTTACTGTTAAGGGAACCTTACAAACATTGAGTATTTATTGACCTACATGTGAATACAGCTGTATTAAAGATCATATTGTCGGTCATATATCTGAAATTTTGTGTATAACAGTCTATTAGCTGTCAATCGCTCATGTTTTCTTTCCGAAACAGAAAAACAATTTGTGTAATTTACGGTGACATCTAATTAAATCAAGCGTACGTTTTAGTTTGGTTTTTAGCTTCTATTTAATAAACAAGCGCTCTTTTAAGCCCAACCGAAAACCAAGATATGACTAAAATTCATCATCAGTGTCTGAGGTGGTTCATATCAGGCAGGTGCCTGCATGTGGTGCTGGTAAGGGAGCTTTTGGTTACCTGCCCTGGGTCATGCCCGCATGTAAAGGTACTGGACCCAAGTAACGGCAGAGGCGTGTATGTGAGGGCACGTGAGTTGAGAGGAGAGGTCGGAGAGGTATTCTCGCGAATCTCATGCACGGGTGACACGGCGGGTGAGTCAGTCGAGGCAGTGAGCGTGGGGCGTGGCGCCTTGCGGCGGGCGGCGGGCGCGGCGCGGCGAGGCGGCCGAGCGCAGCCATGCGGCCTCACGGCCCGCACGCACCCGGGGTACCCGACGTACCCGACGAGGCACCCGTGGTACTCGAGCAGCCCCGAGCAGCGTGGTCGTCTCCCTCGGGCATGGATCTCCGGAGCCCATGGCTGCGGCCGGGCGGAGCCGGCTGGAGGAGCGGCGACCATCCGGCCCGCCCGTCCCGCCCGCCACGCTACGCCACGTCGCGTCGCGGGTACCAGCCAGAGTAGTACCTGACGCGCCTCGCCTCACCTCGCCACACCCCGCCACGCCACGCCACGCCACGCCGCACCCTGCCTGCTGCCCTCCGGCAGGCTCGCCTCTTCATCCGCCGGTGGGTAACCGGTAACGGTTGCCCCGCCCCGCCCCGCTGCTACTCAACTCATCCAGTAGGCTGTTCTGGGCGCCGCCGCCGCTGCTTGGGTCTTGCCCCTGCCGAGCCGGCGCGGCGGTGGCTGGACAAGGACAGGTGTCCGGCACAGGTGTGACGGCCGGCGTGACGGTGCCGTGACTGGCGCTGTGACCGGAGAGAGAGAGGCACACGGGCAAGAGGAGAGCGTAACGTAGCGGTCGTTCCGTCTTGGCCTCCAACCGATGCTTAGGGCGGCGCGTCTGCTCAGCATCGAGGTAGTAGTATGACCTACCTCAAGGAGGCGGGGGGAGCTGTGAGTGAAGGGGCGTATGGCGAGCTCCAGGAATAGCAGTAGCAGATGGGCCATGCCTCCCCGCGAACCTCGCCCGCTCGTGCACACGTGCACGTTCTCACACACGCGCTCCCCGCCCCCGAGACAGTAGTTCTTTTTTCTGCCGTCGCATTCGGCCCATATGAAGGGCTCAGATGTAATGCGTTGCGCCCCGTCCCCTCCTTCCCCCGTCCATTTTTTTGGTGTGTGTGTTTGACGTCTGGTATGGGAGGGGCGCGTGCCGCGCGATGCATGTTTTAATGGGCCGTGGCGTTGCGCGGGGCTCGGCGCGCATTGCTTTTCCTTTTATTTTTGGTGCGCGCTGTGAGGGGCCTAAAGGCGCGCGGCGCGACCCTCAGAGGGCCCCGTGCTAATGGAGTGACGGCACCCGAGGGAGCCGCGCAGCCCAGCCCAGCGCAGCCCCGCCCCCCGCGAGGCCCTTCGAGTCACGTGCGTCTCGTCGCGAGTAGGGCGAGCGCAGCGCAGCTCGGCGAGGGGAACTCGACAAACTTTGTTGAGAGCAATCTTGCAGAAGGCTTGGACTCGCGCGCTCGCGGGCCCTTCTCTTCGCCTCATGCCGCCCCCGAAGGCCGGCGGTGGCGCCTGGACGCCCCGCCACTCTGTAGCGCCGTTCGCTCTGCTAAGTACTGCCTCTCGTGCAGCGGGCCGCGGGCGCGCGTCCCGGTCCCGGTGCTGGAGGAGAGGACACGGGCGACGCTCTGGGTGACGTGCTGGTTGGTGACCCGTGGGCGCTGCTAGGCCGCTCCGCTGGAGAGAGATAGGGAAGGGGGGGGGAGGGGGTGCCACTCCGGGCCTGGGCGGCGGCGGGGAGGGCGGGCGCGCGGGGGCAGCGAGCCGCGGCGCGGAGGGGCCCGCGGCCCGCAGCGTCAGTCGCGCGTTGGCCGGTACCACGGGCAGAGCTCTCCGCGCCGCCCCGCCCCGTCGCGTCACGTTGGAGTGCGTCCGCCCCCCGGGCCGCCCCCACCTCTCCGCGCCACGACCCCCGCGAGGCGCCGCCGCCGCCGCGCTCTTTGGATTCCAGTCGAGTGCCGTGTCGTGTGGATTGTTTGGACAGTGCCGCAGCGAGTGAGTGTTGGTGTGTGTCAGGCCGCCGCCTGAGGGCCAGCCAGCCGGGGCGGAGCCGCGCCCGTGTCAACAGCGTCGTGAGGCGCGACGTTCCCTGACCAGGATGTCCCAGGTACACAAAAGGACGCACCCTAAAGGGCGTCCCGGAACACAGGGTGTTCGTGTCCGTGGCGTTGCCGACGGCGACGACCCGGCCATTGATCCCCCCCGTGTTAGCGAGCGGCTCGACGCCGACGACGTGATGCCGGGGGTCGCCTCGTCTCCGTGACGTCGGGGTGCACGATGATGCGCTGCAGTGACGGCGCGGCGGCGGCGCCACGCACGGCGGCGCCCCGACTGATGTCAGTCTCTCGTAACGCACGGCCCCACCTTTGTCACGCTATATTTCCCCGTCTGCTGACGCCATGTTTTGGGTTGCCTCCGCGGCGACGGGCGACGTGCCGCCGCCGAGAGGGGCGATGGGGAGGGGAACAGCCCCGCGATGTCTCCGTGCCGCCTGCCGCGGGCCGCGGGCCCCGGGGGGAGGAAGATCGCGGTGCGGTCTGTCGTCGATGACCGATAACGACGCGAGTATTTTTCGCTCCCTGCTGCACCTGTCACGCACCACCGGCAAGCCTTTTCATTTGAAGGGCCAGGAACAAAATTTCTTTCCGTGCCCTGCTTTCTGTGTGCGCGGCTTGCTTAAAGGGGCGGCGCTGCTTTCGAGCCCCTCGCGGAGGGAAGAACCTCTTGCTAATCTGGCGGCTGCTTACGTATTCGCCCGACCCAAAATAGTACAGTGGGACGTGTTTGCGCCGCTCCCGCGCCCTCGCGCGCCCTACATATCGGCACGATAAGATACCCCGAGGGCCGCGGTGGGGCGTTTAAAGGGCTCATGACACCTCAGGGCATCACGCGCGGCCGCGAGGTGCGTTGGCCGATGGCCGCCTCGCACGTCGCGCACGTCCCCAGCCGCTCGCGCTGGAGGCCCACCGCGCTCCGCCACGCCCCACCAGTCAGCGGTGTCCAGCTGATGCAGCGCGCGCTCTGGCCAGACGGCGGCGCCTCGCGCGCACCACCGCGCTTTCACCGCGGGGCTGGGCCGCCGCGGCCGCTGCAGCTGCACCACTCGGACCACCTGCAGCTGGGGGGCTTATTATGTGCCACCGGGAGCCGAGCAGCCAGTCGCCACCCTGATAGCGTCGCGTCGCGGCCGGCTCCCCTTGGGCTTGGAACAGCGGAGGCGGTGTCGTGGCCCCGCACGGCCGCTGGGGCTTAGCGGCTGCATGGTCGGGGGGCACCGTCGGCTCGCCCTGGACCTGCCCGACACGGCGGTCCTTCGTCCTGTCTTCCACCCACCACCACCGGGTGCCGAGCAGTGCCGAGAGGAAAGGGAACTGTCAATGGCCGCCACGCCCCGCTGTCGTCGCGGCGCCGTCGGCCGAGGAGCAGGGCCCCGTTGCTCAGGACGTCCGCCTGCTTTGTGGGGCGTGCGCGCGCACCCGCGGCGTGGCGTGGCGTGGCGCGGCTGATCGTCGATAGAGGGAAGCACGGTGCTGACAATGGGCCCGGAACACCTCTCGGCCTGCGCCTACGAGGCCGGCAATCTCAGCAGAGGGTTCGTCCGTCCCGCTCGCTGCGTGTATAGCGGTGCCGGTGCCGCGCCTGGCCGCCGCCGCCCCGTTCCGTGTGCCCGGACCGGGACCGGACAGTAGTCTCAGAGCCTGCATACATTTGACACTTGTTGCCAGGGAACCTCTTCCCTTTCCCCCCGCCCCCTTCATCCGTACCCTTCACCTTGTAGTAAAGCTCTCACTCCCACGGCGACCGGCTCGACCGCCCCGCGCCGCCCCGCCGCCTGAGTCGCGGCTTCCTTCTCCTCCTCCTCTCCCACCCGCTACGATGATCGCCATCTTCCTTGCACTCTTTGTGTCGCCCGCTCGGGAGAAAGGTCTGGGGAGGGGAAAGGGAAAGGGGGGGGGGGCGCTAGCCGCTAGCTGATCTTCTCCTCAGCGGAAGACGGAAGTATTAAAAAAAATAGCACAGGGGGGAAAGCTCAATTTGAAATGCATTGCCTCGCCTTCGTCTTTTCTACTGTGCAGTTGCAGATCGTTTTTGTTTTGCTTCAAAATGTTCTTGTTGCACGGCGCGGCGGCGCGCGGTGGGAGGTCCACCGCGGGTCCGACGAGAAGGCGAGACGAGACGGGTTTGTTTGTACCGCGCTTTGCGCGCTAAACAGCCTGATGCTGACCGTCCGCGTCCGACCGACCGACCGGTCGGCGTGTTTATTTTGGAATCCCGTCGTGCATCCTGCCGATGCCGCCGCCGCCGCCGCCGGGAGGTACATACATACACACGCGGCGGACCTAGGCCCGACAATTACAGCGCGTCGCCGCAGTGGTCAGGCCGGGGGGCATTCCTCGCCGTCCGCTGCTGCAGGCCGCCGCAGGAGCACCGCGCAGGACGTGCGACAACGACTGGATTTTCTTGTTGCTCCAAGAGACCGCGGTCGACCGGCGCGTCGGTGAGGCAAAGCGACGCCTGATGGACGTCGACCCGCGGCCCGGCTCCGCCCCGCACCCCCTGCTGTCGTTGACCTTCAGCCCGCGAGGGGGGTTCAAACACGGCGGCGTGGGATCGGCTGCGGCGGTGTGCTGACCCCGTTTCCCTTCGACACTGGTGTCGTCGTGTGGACATTTGATACACTCCCCTGCCTGCACTCGAGGGGCTTCCCCTCCGGGCCGCCCGCCGTCCGTGTGTCACCGTCACGTCACCGTCACCCCCCGCGACGCGGCCGTGGCCTTCGAACCCCTTCGCGCCGCACGCGTTATCGCCCGGCTTGGCCGCGGCCCGGCCGGGCTCACAGGACCGCAAGGATCCTGCCAGTGAGGCCGCCAGGGCCCGCGTGGGGGGTTCTTTCTTATTTCGCGCTATCGCGGGTCGCGCCCGGCCGCCGCACCGCGTGGGCCGCGGGCCGGGCGTGGGCCGCCAGCAGCAGCAGCGGCAGCAGCGGCCGACGACCACGTCGTCGTCACCGGTTCTGGCGAATTTTCCAGCTGCAGCTGCGCGTGTCACATGATTTCATTTATCATTATTGCGTTGTTTTCTCTTGCGGGAGGCGGATGTGACTCGCCTCGGACTCGCGCCCCTCGTTTCGGATGATTGTGATGCCACTTTCGTTGCGGGGAATCCGCGAGATAGGCACGGTGGTATGGAGAAAAGCCGTCCACCGAGGAGACCAGGCCCGCGGTCGCGAGGAGGCGCGCGAGCTAATCTTGTTAAAAGCCCTTCCCGGCCCAACAACCCCCGCCGCTCCCCGCCTCGACCCACCCTGTTGCCTCGCTGTGGCAGGAAGGGCGGCAGGTGGGGCCGAGCTGCAGGAGGACCGAGGGTGGGACCGACCGACCGAGTCTTACGACAGCGTCAGTCTCCCTCGTGCTTTTACATGGTGCTCGGCCAGCGTGACGCCGCCGGCGAGGTGGGTGGAGTCTTATCCACTTTGCCAACCCCTCCTGCAGAGCTCCGCGACGTCGCGTCACACAAGAGTCGCGCCGCAATGGAATTAGCGGGGACGACAACACCCTCCGCCTTGCCTTGTATACACCGGGCGCTCCCCCTCGGCCCCCGCCGCCACCCCTCCCTCCCTCCTCGCCGACCCCGCAGCCCGGCGGCGTCCGTCCCCCGGCGACGCTGTCAGGGTGTGGCCCCCGTGTCGTGCGTGTTGGCCCCCCGCACGCTACCCCTTCCCGCCTCGCTCGACCATTTCCCAGGGGGTGTTCGGGGACGAAAAGAGAGGCAGCAGCCGCTCGGTAAACGCAAACCCCCCATTCCCCTGACCTCTCAGCCCCGTCCCTCTTTTCCGGAGGTGTTTCACGACGACGACCTCTGACCTACTTTGACCAGTGTGGCCTGGTGGTGCCGGTCGTCATAGCGGCTTCGGCGTCAAACGACTACCCTCCTCTCCCCTTTCGGCGTATACCCCCCTCTCCCCTTTCGGCGTATACCCCCCTCCCCCTATCCTCTCTCGCTGACGAGCGGACCCGAAGAAGCGCAGAAGGAAAAGGAAGTGCCATTTTCTGGGAAGCCATTGTGGGCAGGGGACTGTGACCGGTGGCCGGGGGGGCCTAAGTGCACCCACCGGGTGCGCCGGCCGTGCCGGACTGGGCGGTGCAAGTGGAGCGCGGCCCCGGGAGCCCCCCTAGGGCTGGGGCCGCTGGCGGTGTCGCCCAGCGGCTCCCCTTTGGGG